CGAGTGAGTAGCATTATCATATTTGTTTAGCTCTCAACGTTGATCTAATTCTATTGACCCCATTACAAACTAATCGCTAAAGTAATTTACTGTGTTTCGAAGTACCACCGTACAACAGAAAACCCTGGATTTAGGTTTTATGCTAACTGGGACTTAATTTCAAAAGAAATTATATTTGATCTAAAGATTGAATATATATTTTTAATGACCGGATTTCTTTCTAACAAATAAACATTTCACTGGTTGAAATCATGAGTCAACTGGACTTAGAACATCATGGAAAACTTGAAGGCACTGGAAGGCCATTTCGTACTAGTATGGGACTCCTCGGCAGTGTGCGTCTACGATTCCACACCCCACGAGATTCGAACCCAGGGCCCACCAGTCTCGCGCCAGGCGCTTAACCAACTAGACCATTAAGCTGGCATCCAAAGGTGTTAATGTCTTACTTCAACCAATCCACAAAGTTGCGCCACCATACCCCATTGTCTTCAGTGAGCTCATATCTCACAACAGACCTGGTTGAACTCTAGTGGTAACGGCTTCTCACTAGAACTCCATGAAACCGTGGAAGCACACTGTTGAGGCGTCTCATACTAGGACAAAACGGCCGTCCAGTGCTTCCAGGTTTTCCATGGTGGTCTAGCTTCAAGTGAATCATGATTTCAATCTGTGAAATAAATATTCACTAATTTATTCAAATCAATAATAATACTTTGATTAAAATGATAAATTATCCATAATTTGTGTATCTATTCTAACTGGCCCATTTCTCTTATGGTCGATATAATCCATTATTCTAAAATTATTGTATTAAGAAAGAATGATATTTTTATTCTTCCACCTTGGCAACGAAGGATGAATAATAACTAACTAACAGATCATACACTTGAATAATAAAAATCTATAAATCAAAACAGGCTTTTAGGTGTTTTAATTATATGAAAGAAACCTATCAATGATATGCCAATCAAACAGTCTAATTAAATAGTTCAGTAATTTGGTGTTGTTGTTTTGTTGTTTTTCTAGGTTATTCTATTAATAATCAATTAGATCTTTTATCGGGATGAGTTTGAAATTATGATAATGATCTGAAATTAAGTTCAGTTCTTCCGTAATGATACTCCTCCTCCTCATCATTATTAATATGGTTAATTATTATTATTATTATTATTATTGAATTTTTATTACTAATTAAGAACTGTAGTTAATGTGTTTTCAATAGATCCTATGAATAACAGTTATAGTGATTCTAGTTTTTTTCATTCTAGAGAAACACCACCACATACTATAACAACAGTAAATAATCATAGATAATGCCAAAATTTATTGAAATAAATGAGAAGGGGGGGTTAGTATATTTTACACTGATATGAAATCCTTCTCACCCTCATCTCTTTCTCCCTCTCACTCACTCACTCACTCACTCACTCATTCACTCTCTCTTAGTCATTTTATTTTTACTTATTGTTTCCTATTTTCATTTATACTTACTTATTATTAGTTAATTAATTTAAGTTAGGTGGTCTGTTCATATTGTATTCCACTGTGACCATGTTGATCATAATTTGAATGCGTTTTATTATTTGCCTGTTTGTTTGTTTGTTTGTTTACTTATTTATTTGTTTTCTTTTCTTGTTAATAATGTTGTTCTATGAAGTTTTTATATGGTTCATTCATTAGCATAATTAAAATTATTTTTTGTTTAAATGTAGAAAACGAAAAAAAAGAGAAAAAAAATTAAAAATATGATTCCATTGATTAAGAAAGTAGATTTATTTTGTAATGATAAAAGATAAAACATCTTATAACAATATATAGTTAGTGAGATTTCATGTAATTTGAAAAGAATAGAATCAGGGTATAGATGCATACTTTTGTTGAATGATGATGGACGGCGGCGCAACTTCGTAGATTGGTTGAAGTTGGACATTAATATCATTGAATGCTTTAGCAGTGGTCTAGTGGTCAAGTGTTCACGCGCGAAACTGATAGGTCCTAGGTTCGAATCTCGTGAGGCGGGACCGTGGATGTGCACTGCTAAGCAGTCCTGTACTAGTACTTCCAGGTTTTCCATAGTTTACTGGCTTCAAGTGACTCACGAATTCAACTATTGAATTAATAATATACTATTGTGGTATTTCAGTTCTTTAATCAACTCCCACTTCATAAATATAGGGTTTTTTTCCCCAAAGATTCGGTATAGAGGGCGATTTTCATTACAAACTATTTTGTCCTATAAGCAAAGATTGATAGTGGCTAGCAGTGGAATCCAGGACTCGCGTTTCATCCTGTTTGGGACCCGTCAGCTGGATGTACCTGCATCTCAGAGTTGATGTTCCCTCTGGCACCCGGACCCAGTATCATTCGCTTCAAATGCCATCGCGTTATCCACACAGCTACTGATCCCTGATAGCCACTTGCCTGCTCAATGAGGGGAATTTAAATTCACTTGGTATTGTTTTGCTTGTATCTTCCAATTGAGGTTTAAGACTGCAATTGATCAGTGTGTTATTGGCATATATGCATACTGTGCATATGCCTCGATATTGCCTTATTATTGTTATTATTACTACTTCTGTTTATTTGTTTTGTTTCGTTTTCACTCTAAATCAAATTCAACTTAAGATTCAAGTTAAACAACACCAAGTGAATTATTTTGTCCTAGTTTGAGTCTTTCATACATCTGTAATTCAAGACAGGAATAACTTGGGTAAACATCTTCAAATTTTCATCAGAACTTAGTACTATAAAAAATTAAGTTTTATTGAATCCTTAATTTGATATGATCCTTATCTAATCTTATCGGTAAGTTATTGTCATCCATCCGCCTTGATTGAATCAATGAGTCATAGCTTCCTACTAGGACTTCAAAAAATCCATCTTGAAATTAGTCTGTTATCTAAAAACGACTATTACTGTTGTATTTAGTGATCTTGAAAAGAGATTTTGTATAATTTAAAGATAATTCTTATCACCAACTGATGCTCTTGAGTTCGAGATCAGGATAGAACAACCGTGTCGGCAACCCGCGAATTCCTGTAGTTTTTCGGCAGATATCAACTGATAATGAAAATTATTGATGAAATAGTTTTACTACTTTTTCTACCATTATGAAGATGGCTTTAATAACAATGCATTAATCTCTTAGCTTCAATGCTTCACTAAATCTACTAGTGATTCTGGCAAATCATAAAGAAGTCATACTGAACAGTGGGAAGCTTCCTTATTACTTTCTAAAAGTTTTATACTATTTTCATAATAAATGATTTATGTTAACTAGTAACTCTAAACTATAGATCACGTACCTTATTGTATGTTTATAGTATTTAGATCATCTAATTTCTACATATCTCTTTATTGAGGATCTAATTATCAAAAAGACATTTTAATTGGATATATAGTTACCATAGTTTGATATAATTGTCACGCAATTCTACAATCCTCAACATAGGGTTTATGTAGTCAAAGTAAGAGTTGTCATTAATTAATTAACAGAATGGCTAATCAGTCAAGACATTGTATATAGAAACTTTGTTTTTCATACAGAAAATAATCGATCACATGGGTTTATCACTTGTTCAAATAACCTTTTCCCCCTATACTCTCTTTGTTTACTTTTTTTTTAAAAAAAAGAAAGAATTAATTTAATTTTGAGGTCAAAACAATTTTAACAAATTTGGTAACATAGCTGTAATGTAGCGGTGAGAAGTAACTTTCAGATAAGATTATATTTCATTGACCGTATAAAAAGAAGAGTAGTTTTATTCGCAAGAAAAGGAAAATTGTATACTTTAAAGAATAATTCTAAATGTTCAACACTTGAAGAAAATTATGTTGGAGGAAAGAATGATGTAGGGATAAGATGGAAGGTATGTATTGTGTAAGGAAATTTTTTGCATTTTCAGTACGGTAACGGCATGGTTAGTCGAGCAAATGGAGTCGATGGAAAACCGTAAGTTTTAACAGAAACTAGTTATTTTAATTTGCATAATAAACAAATAGAGAATAACTTATAATTTACAACTATGAGGGCTTATTAGAAACATTTGAAAATGACTAAACTTCGACTATCAACGAAATTGACAAGGGTTAATATTTAAACAGCCTGTGGTTATATATCAAGGATCCATTTTGGTTAGATAAGTATTAAAAATCAAGAAACACTGGGTACCAGTTTCATCCGTGTTTGAGACACTTCTGAAGTGCGCATCTGCGACGAAGCCCAGTAATTTGAATGTTAAGATCTCATCATGAGAACTGCATGTCTTGGTTTCGATCCCTGATGTAACCGTAGGTGCTCATTGTTGTGGTCCCATGCTACGACAAAGATGTCCAGTAGTTCCTGGTTTTCAGCAGCCAACTAACAAAAGACAACCCTAACAAATTACATAATTGACTATTAGCTGCAAACTGCCAAAACTAACTTTTGACCCTAACTTTCCTGGCAGTTGGCACTAAAAGTTTTGAGGAATCAGTATTCTCCTAGTTAAATTGAATTAACGTTACATTCACAGTGGTCATCACTGAGATATTCATACAATAACTGGCCTCTTATTAAACGGACTGACAGTATTCACTCATATTTTACTCTAATAATAATAATAACACTGGTAATTCTAATGGATTTATTCAGGATCATATGTTAAGTACAATAGGAAATTCTCAACACATTTCAATAAATCCTTCCAACTCATCCTAGATTTTACAAAAAATGTACGTACACACACACACACGTAAAATAAGTAAATGAAATTCTCACTAACCAAAAAAAGTACTTTTGGGAAGACAAGCATTTCTACTATTGTGAAATAGGTACACTTTCAAGAAAATAAATTTTTAATTAGACAAGATTTTAAACCCCGTTCTCCGTATAGTACATGTGCTAGGTAATGTACTGAACAGTGTCTTTTTATAGATCATTTAAACGAAGCCATCATATTCATATTATGAAATTAAATAATTCAGAAAAAAAACTATTGAAAAATCTGTTTCGATTTTTATTCAGAAGTATTTATCATCATCATCATCATCATCATCATCATCATCATCATCATCATCATCATCATCATCATCATCATCATCATCATCATCATCATCATCATCATCATCATCATCATCATCATCATCATCATCATCATCATCATCATCATCATCATCATCATCATCATCATCATCATCATCATCATCATCATCATCATCATCATCATCATCATCATCATCATCATCATCATCATCATCATCATCATCATCATCATCATCATCATCATCATCATCATCATCATCATCATCATCATCATCATCATCATCATCATCATCATCATCATCATCATCATCATCATCATCATCATCATCATCATCATCATCATCATCATCATCATCATCATCATCATCATCATCATCATCATCATCATCATCATCATCATCATCATCATCATCATCATCATCATCATCATCATCATCATCATCATCATCATCATCATCATCATCATCATCATCATCATCATCATCATCATCATCATCATCATCATCATCATCATCATCATCATCATCATCATCATCATCATCATCATCATCATCATCATCATCATCATCATCATCATCATCATCATCATCATCATCATCATCATCATCATCATCATCATCATCATCATCATCATCATCATCATCATCATCATCATCATCATCATCATCATCATCATCATCATCATCATCATCATCATCATCATCATCATCATCATCATCATCATCATCATCATCATCATCATCATCATCATCATCATCATCATCATCATCATCATCATCATCATCATCATCATCATCATCATCATCATCATCATCATCATCATCATCATCATCATCATCATCATCATCATCATCATCATCATCATCATCATCATCATCATCATCATCATCATCATCATCATCATCATCATCATCATCATCATCATCATCATCATCATCATCATCATCATCATCATCATCATCATCATCATCATCATCATCATCATCATCATCATCATCATCATCATCATCATCATCATCATCATCATCATCATCATCATCATCATCATCATCATCATCATCATCATCATCATCATCATCATCATCATCATCATCATCATCATCATCATCATCATCATCATCATCATCATCATCATCATCATCATCATCATCATCATCATCATCATCATCATCATCATCATCATCATCATCATCATCATCATCATCATCATCATCATCATCATCATCATCATCATCATCATCATCATCATCATCATCATCATCATCATCATCATCATCATCATCATCATCATCATCATCATCATCATCATCATCATCATCATCATCATCATCATCATCATCATCATCATCATCATCATCATCATCATCATCATCATCATCATCATCATCATCATCATCATCATCATCATCATCATCATCATCATCATCATCATCATCATCATCATCATCATCATCATCATCATCATCATCATCATCATCATCATCATCATCATCATCATCATCATCATCATCATCATCATCATCATCATCATCATCATCATCATCATCATCATCATCATCATCATCATCATCATCATCATCATCATCATCATCATCATCATCATCATCATCATCATCATCATCATCATCATCATCATCATCATCATCATCATCATCATCATCATCATCATCATCATCATCATCATCATCATCATCATCATCATCATCATCATCATCATCATCATCATCATCATCATCAT